ATTATCTCATGCAGTTCAACATAGGGTGTGAACGCTTCACGAGACACAAGGAGCTGTTCAGTATAATGTAAAATAGCCAAACCTAGCTACAGCACCTTCAGAACAACTCGACAATCAAGAAATTCCGCACAGAAGATACTCCGCTCTGTGATTCACGTGAACATAATTCCAAGACTTCCATCTGATAAGCCAGTTGTTTTAAAGGCTCACGTACACATATCACACCGGGTTTTATGAAAACGAGGCCGCTCGCTGAAAACATAAAACGTAAGCTTCTTCCACATCCGAATGTTTTCCCCATCTATTAGTTTTCTCCTTCACCAGATGCACATCAGACTTCGTCAGTTTTGTAGCCTCATCAAGAAAAAGGATTTCGTAGACCATCATCCTTTGAGGGCCCTGCCAGAGGTAAGCCTTTGTTGATATATCACATAGATATCAGTCTCCAACTTATCTAGTATGGCAATTTTTTAGAACAATGTCATGACACGTAAACCTCTGGACACCCTCGATTAAGATTACTGGAAAGGTGCAGCGGTTAGAAACAAGTGATGCATAACAAACACTATACGAAAGTTGAATAAATGTTCTCTTTTTATCACAAAGTTTGACAATCTAAGCCACGTTAAGCAGATATTCTGCCAATGAATTTAGGTATGCCCATTTAGTTCTAAAGAATCCTGACCACGTTAATCAGACTGGGCTATGGTCTAAATGATGATCAAGCCGTAAACATTCCGTGTTACGGCACCAGTTCAACATCTGTTAGACAGGCTAGGTCCATCAAAGACTGTCTTGACACATCCGCTAAAATCACAGTGACCAGCATCCGAAACGACCCACATCCCTTTATATCAGATAACCTACCAACAACATCTGGTGTAGCAGGAGAAAAATCAAAATCGGACGGAATGATGTAATTATTGACATATAGAATAATAATGATCTATCAAACATCAGACTGTGAGAAGTTTTGGTAAGAAGCAATAAAAGCATGGGCACAGAAATGCAAACAAACCAAAGAGAAAGCACTGATTGCCAAATTGTAGATAGCGTGGGACAAGGAACACGGCCACACAACGAGAGATTAATATGGAGATGAACACGAAAAAATGCAGGAGGACAGTGCGTGTTCACTTGAGGAAAAACAACCAGGAGAGAAGTAAGGGAGTGCAATAAAAATGCAAAATGGCCAGCGGTTCATAGAGGGAAGGCGAGGGGAACCACATCCTATGAGAACAAACTGAAAAGGGAGGAACCGACTGAACGCCGAATAAATGAGACGATGAAAAAGAAATAAGCAAGCAAGCATGTAAAAAAACCAAAGCAGATCACAGCTCTTTCATCGACACATAAGACAACAGATGTTCCGGTAACGGCAAGCGACGAATTTTCCAACGCATAGAATCCGAATTGCCCATGGCGCGTTGAATCGCGACCCGACATATGCGCTTCAACGATCGGACATTACATTCTTCCCACCGAAGCCACTGAGCCAATTCATCATCACCGTGAATACACTCTTGGGGAATGATCCCATGCATAAGCAGCCATCTTGTAAAACTGGCCAAATTGACCGGGTCACAGCCATAGTTCAGTAACAATTTAACCATAGGGATATCCAATTTTGGGAATTTGACGGCCATGTGCAATGGACCAAGGCCCTCACGATCAACCCGGTTGACAGACGCGCCTGCGTTTAACAACTTCTGTGCCAGAGCCAAATGACCGTGCAAAACGGCAATATACAACGGAGTTTTTCCGTTCTTGTCCGCTGCGTTCACATTTGCTCCGGCTGCGAGGAGTAAATCGACAATCTCCGATCGTCCGTGATAAGTGGCCACATACAGTGCAGTTTTTCGATGAGAGTCCATCTGATCTACCTGAAAGACGTATATAAAGGGGAGGAACAAATAAGGGTAAATAAGGAAACACAGGTGTTTACGAATAGCTTGGTGATAACGACGCCGACTGAAGATTATACGACCACGGATTCCACAACGTTGGCTAGGTCTTAGCCCCAACCCTCTCCAATGTATACTTGAATACAATAACAAAGGGTACTCTTCAGAACTGAGAAAACTGTTACGTTTGAGTATCACATGGATGGTCAAGTGCTGACCAACGAACGTATCGATACTCTAAGCCAGTTGCATAGTTTGACTTTCATAAGGTGCACCAGTTGAACAACATAGGCTGGCCACGGCTTCGAACGCAGTAAGCACTCTACCAGCTGAGCTACGAAGCCATGCCATGAGCTCGGAAATATGCGTTTTGTCAATCGCGCACTCAAAGCTCATTTGGTGAACTTTATTTTATATATATATATATATATATATATACAATAAAGTTCGCCAGATGAATACACATATAGTCAAGTCCATGCATTTGCGGTTCTGTACTACACACCTGACATATTCAGAATGCAAGCAATAGAAGAAAACGTATTTATACGTGAATCGATTATACAGTATACGACTAGCATAACAAGAACGATCTAGATAACGTCATAGGGACTGTTGTCGGTGTAACAAGGTTTGGCATATCGACGACGAGATGCCCAAACTATTAACTGCGTCAAAACAAAATGTTTGTGCATGCACGAACTGTTGAAAGTTTTTACACTATAGGGTGTTCAAGGTCAAGTGATATACCAGGCCGCATGTAGATTGGACACTAAAAGCTGACTGTGATAAGAAAGGAGCAGTCGCGGTAACGGGATTTAAACATCCGGGCGAGTGATCGGTAGATCTCGTTGTAACCACATTGATCAGCTAGAGACACGTGAAAGTGAGAAACATATTCAACATTTGAATGGCATCGGGATAATTATGTTAACCTGAGTTCGAGCCCCTGTTAACATCAATAACCTGATTGTCCTGGTTTTGAGCAATTCACACGTTCCGTAACAAGTCAGAAGAATGAGCATAAAGCTCAAACGAATTCGACTAACTTACCGCTCGGGTTGCCCACACTGTGACATCCGTTGGCAATTTTCTGCTTTACGAAATGCACCAAACAGATTTGTGCTACCGCTATAACTGGAGGCGACTACTGTTGTGGGACGGGTGCATAATGTG